TTGTTTAAGGAGAATTGGTAGATCACACCATGTCCTCCGAGCTAGGTAAGGGGGCTGCCACCTTAAGTGGCTCATGGCTGGATCCCCTATCCCGAGCAACTACCTAGGAGTGTTGACCCTAGGGTGTATACCAGAGTTGGGCATTAGCTGCATAATTTTTAGCTAGCTAACATTCAGTTCAACAGGTAAATATGCTGCTAATTTAGCTACTGACTGTTAGATCGTAGCTAACTTTGACATCTAAATTAGCTATTAGATTTCAGATTGTACAATTGCACATCACGTTTTTCTAACATTTTGGATTTAATGTATATGGAACACTATAATGTTATGGGGGGCGCTTTTTGTAGTGTTTTTGTTGACATAAAAAAGCAACTTTTGAATGCTATTAGAAAGTTTTCATTAGAAAAATTTGTTTTTGTTCAACCCTATTAAGAATTAGTGAATAATTTGATGAATTTTCCCTTTGTCAAATCCCAATATTATCATGTCTTTCTCTAAAGTACCTTTAATTTAGTTTATTATAAATAATAATTATTTCTCAGGAGTTATAAAAAATGATATATATAACTTTTGAAAGAATTTGATAATTGAATAAAGGAGAAAAAAAGAAAAATATCAATCCATGCCGAAAATGAATATCCGGAAATAATAGTCTGGAGGTATACGTATAATATATTGTTGGAAAGCGGAGAATTAAAAAAAAAAAACAAGGTCTAATATAGAAAGTTGTAGAAGGTTACGGAGAGTGGTGAAAATAATTTAAATAATAATTTCTAAAAACTATCATTAGTTAACGTGAATCACGTGTTTTCAAGTTTGAAGAAGTATTTAAAATCCACGGATTCAAGGCAATAACATTGTTTTAGATACTATTTCATTTACTTGTGTGAAAGAAGAAGTGAAATATAAAAATATTTCAAGGATATTTTTATAACTTTAAATATATTTACTGTACTTTAATAACTCTAGATCTGATATTATATTTAAATAATTAGGTTTCTATCGTCCGTTTATTCCGAAAAATCATCTTGTAACCTTTTAGAAAATTAAATTAGAGAATAATTTGATGAATTTTCACTTTGTGATATTCCAACATTACCCACTTACAATTAGTGTGACAATTGTTTACCTGTATATGACAGACAATGCAAATCTCTTGATTTCATTTTAGTAAACTTTGCAATGGAAAATAACAGTTTAATAACTAATAGTTGTACAATCCATAATCAACAGATCGTACAATCCATGACCAACGGATCGTACAATTCATAATCAACCAATGATATAATAAATAGGACTTTTGTTATTTTAATGGTATTTATGATTTGTTAGCTGTTAGCTTTAGCTTGGTTAAAAACGCAATTCAAAAATGCTATAGTTGCCCAAAATGGTCAGAAAATAATCTCTATTCAAGTTGAGCGTTAAGTGAAAGTTGAGTGTTGCACTAATGTCTAAATTAATCGCTATCCCTTAATTTATAAGTCAACTGAAATAAAGTTCTCTATAAAGATAATTCAGACTTTGGAAGGAAATACATATGACAATAAATAGGATTAAAAAGATTCAACTAAAGAATTTAATAGATTTTTAAATGTAAATTTAAACACTGTGGAGTTTTTTTTATGTAAAGCTCCTTAGACAACATAATGAAGGACTCTTATTCCGATCAAATCTGAAAAGTTATAAAAACATGATATCAATTAAAGCCGAAAAGTTAAAACATTATGCATGATTTCTCAATCACAAATCCAAAAATATTTTGTTAAAATGCTCCCCGAAAACATAATAGTTGACACTAATATTGATCAAAATCGAAAAGTAATAAAAAAAAGTGTATAATGTAAAATCCAACAGAATTTTCATAAAAAGTGCCCCCAACAACATTATAGTCGACCCTAATATCAATTCAATCCGAAATGTTAGGAAAACACGATGAGCAATCGGGTAATCTGAAATCCGACAGTATTTTCATAAAAAGCGCTTCGGACAACATTAAAGTCGACCCTTATATCCATTAAATTCGAAAATTTAGTAATACATGATGCGCAATCTGAAATCTGACATTATTTTCATAAATAGCGCATGATCATGCACCCCGACAGCATTATTGTGGACCCAAATATTGATTAAATCCAATTTTTTTAAATATGTATTTATCTATTGGTTTTTACTTGTAGCTATAGATACAGCTAATTTAGCTGTTATCTATAGATAATTTTTGCCCAACTCTGGTGTATACTATACTTGATTCTTATGCAAGTGTGATATATACTTTATGAACTGTTTGTGCTAGTATGAGTATTCATCCATCTTCGCTGAATAGATATGTTGTACTTAGTTGTTAGAGCATAGTTATCTTTATTGTTACTGTTTATATTATAATACATACAATTTCTGTTTAAGTAATTATAAATTTTTAGTCCAGAAATGCAAAAACTGTTATAAATAAAATGATTATGAGGACTATTATGACATGGTCTATGACTAAAGAAAGCCAAAGGATGCTCCACATAAGAAAAGTACTCCAAAAAATGTATGGACCAACCAAAGTGGAGAATTTGGTTTAACCTAGAGCTAAAGGAGATAGATGATAAACAGAATGTGAGAATCATTAAACTCAATAGACTGTTATAGTTGATGCATTTGGAGAGAATAAACCCTACAAGAATGCCAAGAAAACTGCTTTATGGAAAGCTGGGGGATGGAAGAAGGCCTAGAAAGCCTTGGCTCAGATGGTTGCACAATGTGGAAGGCAACCTGAGATGGGTGTAAAGCGGTGGAGGCGTTTCGCAGCTGACCGAGACATGTGAAAGAAGACTAGAGCCAAGCAATGAGTGAATGAATTATTTATTTCTCTTTGTCTGTGTATGTTAACTATACTTTGAAAGTGACTTTATTGTCACACTGTTATACTACCCATCTCAGTAAAATATTTTTACTTAAGAAAATCTCAAGTTTGTGTAAACCGATGTTCCCAATTTATTAAGCCATGCCATTAGAATATAGTAGAGGTCCTGCTCATCCAGACAAGTTGGGTCTGAGTCGCATCCTGATTAAACATGATTTACTATATAATGCACAAGATAAGATGTTATAATTTTTGTTTCTAATAAATATACCTTTTCCTTCAGTTTAATTTTATTTTCAATATTATTTAATGCATAAGTAGATCTAAGTTTTTGGACTATAACTGATACAGGGTAAATAAATCAAAACATTTTTTTTATCATAATTTATTTATTTTACTGTAGTACCAAAAAATAAACCACAGTTCATTAATATTATAACTAGAGTACGGATCACCATGTCATTGCATCTTTTTTCAGCTTTTCCAAAATTAATGAAAATTAGTTATGAATCCAAATCATGTTAAATAGATTACTTTAACACAATTTAATATTGCATTTTTTTTGGAAATTTGCATATTTAGTTATCAAAGATAAAAAATTAAAAGTGATAAAACTTTAATGTGTCAATGAGTTCTCATGATGAAGAAAACAAATCCTATCTTACCCAAACTCATGGATCAACATCCTTTTTACATCTTTTGAACACATTTCCTCTGTGCTTCCTTTCTATTCCCTCTCCAAGCTAAGTCTTTCTTAATTTTAAACTGAGCGTTCAAAATAAAAAGATAATGTTTCAAAATGATCCAAATCCTTTTTTAAAAATTGCTTATAACAAGGGGGTAAATAGAAGACCAGCTACAGTTGAAATTTGATTGTGAAATAGTGCATGGCCTGCAGAAAAAAAACATGGGATGCGATAGAAAATCTCAATTTGATGCTCAGTGTGCAGTAAGAGTACCCACCTACTTTATTTTAACTTAAATAATATCATTTGTATTCATTGTAACTTTTTTTTTTCCTGTTGGCATTACAGACCTTGTTGATCTTTTGCCGCCTTAACAAGGCGCAGAGTGCTGTGCTACCAATGAGTAGTTTCTCAACAAGCGTGTTTCATGTGATTATATTCCTCTGTACACATTTACTTGATGTATTCATACTAATACAGTTGTAAATATCATAATAAAAGTTTAAAAAAACAAGGCGTACCTACTCCATATCTGCCTATCTTGGGCTATTTCTTTCCAGTTATCTGCATGCAGCTCTATTGAATTTTTGTTGAATCTATCTATCTGAAAATACAATTTATTAAATCAAAATCAAAATATCTTAATAGTTATTTAATATATAAATACTTTATTTCTAGATCGTCTTAGTGAGCCATGGTTGTTTTAATAATAAGTAAAATGTTTAAAAGTTGGCAAAGTGAAGGCATAGTCTCTGGTTCTTAAGTCTGTTCTTTACTAATTGGCATTCTTCATTCAGTAATACTTGTTCTGCAATATTTCGGAAAACTGCTTTACTGAAACTGTACCCCACTTTATCAAAAATAGTTTGTTCATTTCTTTTAATTTAACATTTCAGGTTAAAATTTCGCTTTCAGGTCTGGTATTAAAAGTTTTGTAACATATATTGGTGTATCGTTTTATTTCACATGATCTAACTAGACAGAAAAAATGTATGAATTATTTTACCAAATAAACAAGCTAATCAGTCATGAAACTACTGATAACTGGCAAGTGTACCCCCACTTAAGTCTAACCCTCTTCAAATTATTTTGATACTTAGTGCTTGCTAAATTTAAGTATTAGTTTACTAAGTTTTTAATTAATGTTTTTCACTTCTTCTACTATATTTGTGCTTTATTTAATTTTTAAAAAATGGAACATTGTTTTAAATTAAATCATTTAAATAGTAAAAACAAATAATCTGATAATATTGTAAAAATTGAGGATTATATTGCATTGTTCCTTGTTGAGGATTATATTCCATTGTTCCAAAGCATTGTTTCTTCTCAGATTTATCATTTTTTTTAAAAGTTCTTTTCACCAATTAATTTAATTTTTTTAAAATAATCTATGATGTATAATTTTGATTTGTTTTTTATTAGTTAATCATTATTGAATAAATTATATTCTTTTCCTATTTCAGATTTGGCAAGGGTCTTTCCAGAAAAGTAAATTTAATCGTTTGGACCATTCAATATCTGTTGCTAAGAAGGGCACGAATAAAAGTAAGATATTTAACTTTTTCTTTTTAAGAAAGTGATATTGTTTGAATAAAATCAAATTAGCTTCAACAGTACTTTTTTCATAATTATATTTTTCACAGCCATTCAGAGTTATTTTTATCAATTTTTCTTAATCGTTTTAACTATTATTTTGGAATTATCAATTTAAAAAAGCACTTATTTCTGTTCAGTTGGTTTTTTAATTTATAGTATTTCATTATATGTATGATTAATGAAAATTATGTTAAAACCTTTTAATTTTAAGTAACCTTATGATTATTGGATTATTAGTAATTTCAAAGACCCTAGTATCCTTAATTGAATTTTATAAGAAGAGTTTGTTTAATTTTAACCGAAACATTAAAAAAATCAATAAAAATATATGATTAAATACTGTTATAATTTTTTTTTTTTGGGAAGGTTATTTCTCCCAAATCAGAGTTTCATCATTTGGTGATAGCATTATTTCCTTATTAACGATGGAGTCATAGATTAATGATGGGTAAAGGACATCTCAGGATTGGCTCATCAGCCAGCAAGTAAGCCAGTTTCAGCCTATCTGATGTGATAGGAGATATCCTTTCATCTATTTGAATAGTATAGGTCTTATCATGGCAATTGATGATTTTGAGTAGACTTGAATAGAGAAGAACTTTCTCTTTGAAGAAAGATCTACTTGACTGATTTGGAGTCACTGGTCTGAGACAAAACAAGTATTGCTTTAACTTCTGAACTTCAATGGTGGACTTTTATGCAAGCTTAGAATCATCAAATAATTCCCCAGGTTGCCTCAAAGCAGTGTTGTACAATCGTTCAGCCATATTGAAAAAAATTCAGAAGAATGAATGGAAGAATTTCGGTATATCCTGTATAATTAGGTGTTATATCATAGCTGCTTTTAGGTCTGATGCAGCCATTATGTTGTTGTTTCTCTCTTGTCTATTTGTAATAAAGATGTAAGGAATATGAAAAATTTTGTTTGAAACTGCCTACCCTGATCTGTGGCACTTTGTATTCATAGAGGTGTTTTTCATGATTTTCCCCTGTGTGGAGGTAGAGTAGACCCACAGTATTCACTGCTTGTCATAAAAGGCAACTACAGGGACAACTGACCGTTGACCTTTTACCTTATCCTATCTTCCCCCCCCCCTTTCCAATAGTTCCTCTCATCCTAATCCTTTTATTCTTTGAATACCAATCCACATGACCTTATGGGTGAGAACGAAAGTTCAGAGGCTAAGGGAGTAAACCCTGATAATAAATCCCTGCCCTTCAGGTTGGAGGTTGAGCATAGGGTTAACGCCCCAATCCCATAAAAACACAATTGTTATGAAACCATATACAAAGAAAAGCAGTACAGATTTAATGAAGCGACCTTGGCGAGTCAAAGGAATTTCAAAATATTTAATGTTGGCAACATGGAATGTTAGAGTAGACCTGGGCACTCTTGAAATAATTCACATGGTTATTCCACGAATGAATTATTTCGGGAATAACGGTTATTTCTGAAATAATAATATTTCAAACAGTCAACGAAATAATCTCGATGGAATAACTCTGAATTTATTTCTGAAATAATTATTTCACTATTTTAACATTCTTTGGAATAATGTAAATTATTTCGAAATGTATTATTTCTGAAATAAATTATTTCATAACTATTATTTCAGGATTATTTATTTCATAAATAAATTATTGCATAAAATCAAGAAATAAATATTTCAGAAATAACGTTGTTCTGTAATAACATAAAAAAATTACCAATATGCACCATGTTTTCGGGGGCGCTTTTTATGAAAATACTGTCGAATTTGATATTGCACCACCCCCTCCCCACCCCCCATCGACTTTTTGTAACTTTTCAGATATAATCGATATCAGGGTCGACTTTTATGTTTTCGGGGGCGCTTTTTATGAAAATACTGTCGAATTTGATATTGCACCACCCCTCCCCACCCCCCATCGACTTTTTGTAACTTTTCAGATATAATCGATATCAGGGTCGACTATTATGTTTTCGGGGGCGCTTTTTATGAAAATACTGTCGAATTTGATATTGCACCACCCCCTCCCCACCCCCCATCGACTTTTTGTAACTTTTCAGATATAATCGATATCAGGGTCGACTTTTATGTTTTCGGGGGCGCTTTTTATGAAAATACTGTCGAATTTGATATTGCACCACCCCCTCCCCACCCCCATCGACTTTTTGTAACTTTTCAGATATAATCGATATCAGGGTCGACTTTTATGTTTTCGGGGCGCTTTTTATGAAAATACTGTCGAATTTGATATTGCACCACCCCCTCCCCACCCCCCATCGACTTTTTGTAACTTTTCAGATATAATCGATATCAGGGTCGACTTTTATGTTTTCGGGGGCGCTTTTTATGAAAATACTGTCGAATTTGATATTGCACCACCCCCTCCCCACCCCCCATCGACTTTTTGTAACTTTTCAGATATAATCGATATCAGGGTCGACTTTTATGTTTTCGGGGGCGCTTTTTATGAAAATACTGTCGAATTTGATATTGCACCACCCCTCCCCACCCCCCATCGACTTTTTGTAACTTTTCAGATATAATCGATATCAGGGTCGACTTTTATGTTTTCGGGGGCGCTTTTTATGAAAATACTGTCGAATTTGATATTGCACCACCCCCTCCCCACCCCCCATCGACTTTTTATAACTTTTCAGATATAATCGATATCCGGGTCGACTATTATGTTTTCGGGGGCGCTTTTTATGAAAATAATATCGAAGTTGATATTGCACTATCCCCTCCCCCCCCCCCATCGACTTTTTTTAACTTTTCAGATATAATGGATATCCGGGTCGACTGTTATGTTATCGGGGGAGCTTTTTATGAAAATACTGTCGAATTTGATATTGCACTACCCCCTCCCCACCCCCCATCGACTTTTTGTAACTTTTCAGATATAATTGATATCAGGGTCGCCTATTATGTTTTCGGGGTAGCTTATTACGAAAATTCGGTCGAATTTGATATTGCGCCTCCCCCCCCCCAATCGACTTTTAGTTACTTCTCTTATGTAATCGATATCAGGGTGGTCTTTTATGTTTTTGGGATATCTTTTTCAAATTCTACCGTATTTTCTTAATTAGCTACCCCGAAAACATATTAGTTGATCCTGGTATCGATTGAATCTGAAAAGTTACAAAAAGTCGATGGGGGGTGGGGAGGGGATGGTGCAATATCGAATTCGACATTATTTTTATAATTAGCGCCCCCGAAGACATAATATTCGACCCTGATATCGATTATTTCAGAAAAGTTACAAAAAGTCGATGGGGGTGGGGAGGGGGTGGTGCAATATCGAATTCGACATTATTTTTATAATTAGCGCCTCCGTAAGACATAATATTCGACCCTGATATCGATTATATCTGAAAAGTTACAAAAAGTCGATGGGGGGTGGGGAGGGGGTGGTGCAATATCAAATTCGACAGTATTTTCATAAAAAGCGCCCCCGAAAACATAAAAGTCGACCCTGATATCGATTATATCTGAAAAGTTACAAAAAGTCGATGGGGGGTGGGAAGGGGTGGTGCAATATCAAATTCGACAGTATTTTCATAAATAGCGCCCCCGAAAACATAATAGTCGACCCTGATATCGATTATATCTGAAAAGTTACAAAAAGTCGATGGGGGGTGGGGAGGGGGTGGTGCAATATCGAATTCGACATTATTTTTATAATTAGCGCCCCCGTAAACATAATAGTCGACCCTGATATCGATTATATCTGAAAAGTTAAAAACAGTCGATGGGGGGTGGGGAGGGGGTGGTGCAATATCGAATTCGACATTATTTTTATAATTAGCGCCCCGAAAGACATAATATTCGACCCTGATATCGATTATATCTGAAAAGTTACAAAAAGTCGATGGGGGTGGGGAGGGAGTGGTGCAATATCGAATTCGACATTATTTTTATAATTAGCGCCCCCGAAGACATAATATTCGACCCTGATATCGATTATTTCAGAAAATTTACAAAAAGTCGATGGGGGGTGGGGAGGGGGTGGCGCAATATCGAATTCGACATTATTTTTATAATTAGCGCCTCCGTAAACATTATATTCGACCCTGATATCGATTATATCTGAAAAGTTACAAAAAGTCGATGGGGGGTGGGGAGGGGGTGGTGCAATATCAAATTCGACAGTATTTTCATAAAAAGCGCCCCCGAAAACATAAAAGTCGACCCTGATATCGATTATATCTGAAAAGTTACAAAAAGTCGATGGGGGGTGGGGAGGGGGTGGTGCAATATCAAATTCGACAGTATTTTTATAACTAGCGCCCCCGTAAACATAATAGTCGACCCTGATATCGATTATATCTGAAAAGTTACAAAAAGTCGATGGGGGGTGGGGAGGTGGTGGTGCAATATCGAATTCGACATTATTTTTATAATTAGCGCCCCCGTAAACATTATAGTTGACCCTGATATCGATTATATCTGAAAAGTTACAAAAAGTCGATGGGGGGTGGGGAGGGGGTGGTGCAATATCAAATTCGACAGTATTTTTATAACTAGCGCCCCCGTAAACATAATAGTCGACCCTGATATCGATTATATCTGAAAAGTTACAAAAAGTCGATGGGGGGTGGGGAGGGGTGGTGCAATATCGAATTCGACATTATTTTTATAATTAGCGCCCCCGTAAACATAATAGTTCGACCCTGATATCGATTATATCTGAAAAGTTACAAAAAGTCGATGGGGGTGGGGAGGGGGTGGTGCAATATCGAATTCGACATTATTTTTATAATTAGCGCCCCCGAAGACATAATATTCGACCCTGATATCGATTATTTCAGAAAAGTTACAAAAAGTCGATGGGGGGTGGGGAGGGGGTGGTGCAATATCGAATTCGACAGTATTTTTATAACTAGCGCCCCCGTAAACATAATAGTCGGCCCTGATATCGATTATATCTGAAAAGTTACAAAAAGTCGATGGGGGGTGGGG